TGAACAGAGCAGCTCTTCATCTCAGAGAAAGCAAAATCCAACGACATAATCCCTTTTCAGTATTATAGGGTATAGATGTGGGGCTTTGATCGTTTTCTTCCTCAGCAGTGTGAAGTTCAGTGAAATACTAATAAATTTGTTTGTGTAAGAACCTTTTTTAACCACAAAAGAGAAAAATAATTAATCTGCCTAATTATTTAATTGCATACACTAGTAATCAATTTTTCTTCTCCAATGAGTGTGTGTGTTAATATTTCTCATGGTGACCACAAGATCCAGGTGGATAACAACTGCAAACATTTCTAGGTTTTGCAATGTCATTATAGGTAGTAATGGCATTTGTTAACATTTTCCAGTGACTTGACAAACTACCTTTTATAATTAAATCTTACCAGTATGAAATATGCATTCTTAATCAGACTTGTGACCTTACTGTGATTGTAATGAAGGAAATTTCAGCCACTTCCAGCTAATGAAACCTGTTTTATCCCTTCGACAATTTCATACATCTGCATCCATAACCTCAAGCCCACACAGTGTCCTCCACGTAGCAAACATACTCACTAATGGGAAAAAAATTCATTTTGGCCTTGCCTCTGATCTTATTTGGCCAGACCTCCAGGGAGGACACATTTAGCATGGATGGTTGAGAAGAGAAGGATAGATCTGGTCATTTATAAGCAAAGTGGAGGGAAGAGACAGTTTTGTTTTTTCTCCATTTGAGATTAAGAAAAAACATTATTCTTATAAACTAACATATAAAATGAATTATAGTAGAATCTAATAAACTTTTCCAAATGATTGATTACACAGACCAATTGAAACTAGCATGTCTGTTTTGGCCAACATTCTAAGTTGTTTAACCAACTTTCTTTTCTTGGAATGAAACCCAGTGAATGAAGACACTGTATCTTTCTCCTTTGAATAGATCATACATAGTTTTTATAATGATTGATAGCCCCTTTGGGAATGACAGACTTATTTCTGTCTTGGCCACTGTCCCTACATCCAGGTTAAGTAGGCTATGACGTAAGTGATATTTTCAAGAGGGCCCAAAAGACTTCCATGAATAAAAATATAATACTTATCATGGTGACTGAAATTCCACTTTCCATCTAATGGACCATTTATTCTTCATTTAATCAGCAAACAGGACTGAGCACCTAGTAGGTGCCAAGTCCTGACTAGTATTAAAAGGCAAACAAGTAACAGAGAAAGAACAGCTTTTTCACTTTCAAAGCTCAGTATCAATTATGGAAATGAAAAGGTACTGATGATTGAAATATACAGTAAAACAATTGTGGGTGGCTATGATACACATAAGGGAAGAACAGGATTACGGCACCGTTAAGGATGTTTTACTTCACATTTGTAATTTTTTTCTTTCCAAGAATCTTTTTAAAAATGGTTACTAACTCTTTGGAGAGGCAATGTATTATCGGATGGACATTTGGCTCCTTGGCACTTCTTATACAAGAAATTATTTTCTAATAGTAACTACGAGATTTACATTTTAGTCCAGATTATTTCATCATCTGTGGAACACCGAACAATTCACCTGGATGGAAATATGTTCTAAGAGTTGCATTGTTAGACAATGTATACATTATGTAAACATTATAGGGTGTACTTACAAAAACATAGATGGCACAGCCTATTACACACATAGGCTACATGGTATAGCCTATTTCTCCTGGGCTACAAACCTGTACAGAACGTTACTCTACTGAATACTGTGGACAATTATAACACAATGGTAACCACTGGTGTATCTAAACATATCTATAGAAAAGGTACAGTAAAATACAGTATTATAACCTTATGGCACCACCTTTGTATATGTGGTACATTGCAGACCTAAATGTTTTATGTGGCACAGGTTCTCAGGAATCTCTAGGAATATATATACATTTATCATAAGAAAGTTCCAAAGTCCACCTTGAAGTGCTATAATTCTAGTAGATTATAAATTAGAAGGATAACAAAATAACAGCAGAATGTCCCACAGAGTGAAACAAACTTGATTTTTCTTCTCAAGTTTATTTCAAATTGAAATATGTTGGCATAATATTTACTTATTTTGAGATTAATTCTTATCTTGCAATGATGTAAAAATTCATTATGATATGGAAACTGTCCACTAATATACCTATGACCTTGTTTGTCAACACCTCACTGCCAACCAGCACACACACACACATGCTCACACGTACACATTACTCATCTTCTTACAGGTCACTCCACAGATGAGTCAAGATGGTGACGGTATGCACATAGGCTTTGTTGGGACAAACTAACATAGCTTTATGGAAAGCTCTGGAGCATGAAAGGGGATTGTCCAAAAAAGTCCTGGTGATTTGGGCAGCCAAGAAGCACGTCAAGATGAGATGTATTTCAGATGTTAAGGGAGAGAGAAATGGAGCTTATAAGATTCGTCAAAGGCACATCCTGTGTTTTTGAAGTTTCTTTGATTTGATCACTGCGCATACATTTATTGAATATTCTCTATGATCATTGGTCTTCTAGACATTAGAAGTGAAGGATGCAAAACAATTTCAAAAAAGCATGGTTGTGTCATTTCAGCATTTTCTGTATGACCAACAATATATTTTATATTCTTCTTGAACAAATTATCATATGTACAGTTTAAAAAGCAGAAGGTTTTCTCTCAGTAAGCAATGGAAAAACTTCCACTGTAATATTAACTTTATATACCGAAAAGTTCTACATGTATATATAGAATCATTGTGTATGTGACTATACTTTGAATATACCTGTACATATACATATATAGATATATTTATGCATTTATGTTTACATTTTTGTTAGGATAAATCTTAGTAAAGTATGCTAATCTTAAACACACAGCTTGATAATTTTTCACATGCAGATACCATATATACTTATTACTGAGATCAAGATATAAAATCTTTCCAGTTTATGATAGGATTTTATCTCTTCTTAATTAACTTTCCCCTTTATCAATTTTAGGAGAGGATACTTGATTCTTAGCCCTCTGTATTTTTCTATAATAATGAAAACGGAACATTTCTTGAACCTGGGAGGTGGAGGTTGCAGTGAGTCAAGATCGTGCCACTCCACTCCAGCCTGGGTGACAGAGCAAGACTCCATCTAAAAAAAAAAATTAAATATTAAAAAGCACCCCTCTTTTGCTTAACTACCCCAAGCAGGAAACTAACTACCCCAAACAGGAAACTAACTACCCCAAACAGGAAACTAACTACCCCAAACAGGAAACCACAGAAAACTCTGCTCCTTTCAGGCTCAGTTCTTAAAACCTCTATCAGTGACATTTGTAAAAACAGTAAAATACAATTCTAGGGATTGGACCAAAATCTTCCAATTACTGACTGTGATTCCAGACAAATATCCTTTTTCTCTTTCATTTACCTAATCTGCAAAATAATGAAATAATAATCCTTAGTCTATATTCCTTACAGAAAAGTTATAACAATCAAATGAGAAAATGCATATAGTAATCCATTTTAAATTTCAAAGAACTATAAAAGACAGAGTCCTACTTTTTATCAGACAAATTAGTTTGAAATATTTCAAATTCTTCTGATATATTCCCAAAGGAAATAACTCCCACCTCATGATCAGGAAATCACTGAACTTTTCAAAAACTAATCAAATGTTTATACTTCATTTGCTTTAATTTGATTTCATCTTGGTAACAAATATCTTCATTTAAAATTTTATGCCCTTGGGTATTTATGCTTTTCTGGCTTTTCTGCTACGGGAGTAATTATCTGTGATATATTAGAAGGGCATTTTACTGTAGCAATAAGACCGTCATTATCAAGCCTCATCCAGAGGTATCTTTCAAAAAGAATCAGTAAGCATTTTGCAATCGACACATAAAACTCCAGTGGAATGCAAAGGTGATCATGAACATGACTCGCTCTTCCAAACCCAAATTTTTAAACAGAAAACACTTTGCCAAAAAATAGTCTTTGATGCAAATGCCTTCTTTGGTGATTTTATACAAATCTCTATTTGAATCTGTACATGTTTACCTTCCATGGACAATTTTGAGACTTTATCTTTAGGGAAATAGTCTTGTCTTCACTTTTTTCTACATACTGCATTTATTGAAGTAAAGACATAAACTTTCCAGATTGTTTAAATGCGCCTTCTGAAAAATCTCTTGAGTATGGAAAATAATACCTATATCCTGAAAGTTTGAGTAGCAACATCCAGATTACATTGCTCTTTAATCAAATAGAATATTGCTTTTTTTTTCCTCAAGGAAAATGCAAACAGGAGGTAGGAAAGTGTGTTATATTTGAGATCCAATTACTTCAGATGACAAAGATTTATTTTCAAATTTATAGTGCATAAAAATGAGCCAGGTGCTCGCTCATCCTCTATACTTCCAGGAAAATTCTTCGCTATACATACTATTTTACTGAGAAATTCAGGCATTCTGAACACTTTGGTCAACCTAGTATTTGGAAGAAGCATAGTGAGAACTGTACAAAAATGTGGATGCCTTTATATGTTCAATGGAAGAAAAAATCCTCTCTACAGAAGTGTCAGGTGACCTGAGTCTGAATGGTAACACTGCCACTTACTAACTATATAAAAATCAGTCAAGATACTAAGATTCTCTGAGGCTTACTTTTCTACTATTATATCATTTAGAATGCTTTTTGCTGCACATAATAGAATACTTTCCTGTTTGAAAAGTGACCCAAACAAAAGTGTTTTCTATTATTTGTTTCATGTAACAAGAAATCTGAAGAATGGATCCTCAGAGTGGGTTTAGTACCTGTGTGCAACTTCATCATCCAGTGCCATGGCTCTTTCCACCTCTCTGCTCTCCATTCCCATTGTGCTGTCATTGTCGCCCTTTGTGGTCTGAAAATGGACGCAGCAGTCTATATATCACCTTCTCACAGAAAAGCTAGGAATGATGAGTTGCATTTTCTTATTTGACACCTTTCTTTGTTTCTCTTTTTTTAATCAGGGAAAAGAATCATTTCCAGAATTCTAAAGGAGAGAATGGGATCACATGATCATCCCTAACCACAGGAAGGCTGGGTACAAATCTGCCATTGTCAGCCATGATGATCCAAGGTAAGCTCTGCCCACAAGGCCACAGGGAGAAAGAGATGTCTACCCCAAGCTCCTTGTCTACATGGCAGAGGGGAGGCTCAAACAGATCACATACTAAATTGTTTAATGTACTGTCTCAAACTGAGCAAATATTATAACTACATAAATAATATGATAATATAAAGTATGTATTTAAAAAACACAAAATCGGAGTGGATTTTGCAGTGATCTGAGATTCAGTTTCAACAACTATTCTACTGGTAATTGGCTTATTCCTAAGCTCGTACATGTGCGTGTTACATGCCTCAACTCTGAAGTCATTTGTGCTTGCGACCCACTGTAGTAAAATTTACTATGTATTTTTAAATAATTTATTAATTTTTATAAAAGAACAGAGAAAGAAGTTACATTGTTTTTGAACTTTAGTTTTATTATTTATAAAACAGCAATCATAATACCACCACCACCTTTAGGTTCACCTGAAGACTATCCGTCTTAGATTAAGTTTCCTAGAGACAGAGCCTGACAAGCAAGTTCCTGTGGCAGGGGTTCGTAGAAAGAGAGTTTTCAGACGGGTCATGGAAACCAAGGATAAAACAGGAAGATATAAGTTAGGTAAGAATATGGCCTCAACTTGAGATGAGCTTCAGCCTCAGTTTAATCCCATGGGAAGCTTAGGGACATGAAATATCCAGAATTGGTCCCAGCCTGAGGAAGGTGGCTGACTTTGGTAACCTAGTCCGTCAGTCATTGGCTGGGGGTGAAATAAGAGGTGGGAGTGAGCAGTGAGTAATTTCAAAAATGAAGTGACTCCCATTTAATAGAGAACATGTCTCTATTAGCTATTAGAAGCTCACACATCTCTATTAGCTCTCACAGCAACTGGCGGTGGTACCTGGGCCAATAAAGGGATCTGGTTAGGACATCAACAGTGTCCACTACAAGAAATAAATATTATTATGCATGTGAAGCATAGGCATAGTATTTGAAAGAGGACATATTCAATAAATATTTCTTTTCTTTTGTTTTTCTTTCTTTCATTATTATTATTATTTTTTTTTTTGAGACAGAATCTCACACTGTAGCCCAAGATGGAGTGCAGTGGCGCAATCTTGGCTCACTGCAACCTCCACCTCCTGGGTTCAAATGATTCTCCTGCCTTACCCTCCTGAATAGCTGGGATTACAGGCACACGCCACCACACCCGGCTAATTTTTGTAGTTTTAGTAGAGACAGAGTTTCATGACGTTGGCATGCTGGTAACAAACTTCTGACCTCAAGTGATCTGCACCCCTTGACCTCCCACAGTGCTGGGATTACAGGCATGTGCCACCACGCCCCGACTCAATCAATTTTCGATGAAACAGTAAATAGGTTAGCGCGGCTACAAGGGAGAGTTAGTTGAGCAGGGATAATTGCTGCACTTCAAAGTTTGTTCTTTATTCTGAGGGGAGTGTCTGGAGTCAGAAGGAGGGAAAGTCAAATTTTAAGCAAAGGAGTGATATGATTATATTTGAATGTTAAGAAAGAAAACTCCAGCTACGACATGGAGAAATGTTTGAAGAGGAGTGCCCTAGGAGCAAGGGGAATGATTAGGAAATGATTATGGAAGTCTGGGAGAGACATGATGTAAGTCTAACTTAAAGTGATGAAAAATGCCAAGAAAAGGGAAAAACATCAAAGCTTACAAGGACTGCTTTCTAAGTTAGTCTATTTAATATATACTATTGTGAGAGGTGGCAAATAATCAACATAATCAATGATTATAACAATATGATATTTTTTAGCAGTAAGCACCGTGGATGAAGAAATAACTTTCTAGTGTTTATAACACATTTTAATAGTTTATTTGGTCTCATTTCTTATAAATCTGTTTCATACGCAAAGGTCCAGAATCAATACAATATTGAAGAATGATAAAGATCGAGCCTCTTCTACAGAAATCAAGAAGTTCTTTGAAACTGATAAGAACAAGGATACAACATACCAGAATCTCTGGGACACACCTAGGGCAGTGTTAAGAAGGAAACATATGGCACTAAATGCCCACATCAAATAGTTAGAAAGATTTCAAGTTAACCTAACATCACAACTAATAGAACTAGAGACCTAAGAGCAAACAAATCAAAAAGCTAGCAGAAGACAAGAAGTAACCCAAATCAGTGCTGAACTGAAGGAGATTGAGGCACAAAACACCATTCAAAACATGGATGAATCTGGCTGGGCGCGGTGGTCCACACCTGTAATCCCAACACTTTGGGAGGCCGAGGCGGGTGGATCACGAGGTCAGGAGTTCAAGACTAGCCTGGCCAAGATGGTGAAACCCTGTCTCTACTAAAAATACAAAAAATTAGCCAGGCATGGTGGCAGGCACCTGTAATCGCAGATACTTGGGAGGCTGAGGCAGAGAATTGCTTGAACCAGGGAGGCAGAGGTTGCAGTGAGCTGAGATTGAGCCATTTGCTGGGTAACCCGCTTTCTCTCGGCTGCCTTAAGATTTTTCCTTCATTTCAACGTGGTGAATCTGCAATTAGATGTGTCTTGATTTGCTCCTTTCCGAGGAGTATCTTTGTGGCGTTCTCTGTATTTCCTGGATTAGTGAATGTTGGCCTGACACATAATAAGGGTTGGGAGTTATCCTGGATGATATCCTGAAGACGTGGATTTTCAACAACCTGGTTCCATTTTCCCCATCACTTTCAGGCACCCCAATCACGACGTAGATTTGTCTATTTACTAATCCCCCCCCATACAACATTGCATAATGAGAAGAGAGCTTTGTTCATTTCTTTTCTTCTTTTTCTTTTGGTTTCTCTTCTCGCTCATTTCATTCCATTTGAGCCTCAATCGCTGATACCTCTTTCTTCCAGTGTGATCGCAGTCGGTTACGCGAAGCTTGTGCATTTTGTCCACGTATTTCTCTTGTGTCATGGGTTTTCATCTCTTTCATTTCGTTTAGGACCTTCTTCTGCATTAATTACTCTAGCACATCAAGTTCTTTCCACTTTTTTTCCAAAGATTCTGAGTTTCTTTGTGAGCGGTACTAATCACTCTTTTAGCTCCTGAAAAGTTTGATGGAGCCTGAAGCCTTCTTCTCTCATGCCTCTGCAAGTCATTTCCGTCCAGCTTTGATCCGTTGCTGGTGATGAGCGTGCGCTCCTTTGCCCGGGGGAGATGCGCTCCTTATTTTTCTGAACATTTCCAGATTTTCTGCCTGCTTTTTCCCATCTTGTGGTTTTATTGTGTTTTTGCTGATGTGACGTTGGTGGGGGCGGTTTTGGTGTAGGTGTCTTCCTGTTTGAATAGTTTCCTCTAGCAGTCGGACCCTACTGTAGGTTGTTGGCCTTGCTTGAGGGTCCACTCCAGACCTGTTTCCTGGGTGTCAGCAGCAGAGGCTGCAGAAGAATAGAATAATTGTCTAACGCGCAGTGTCTGTCTGGATTTTGCTGAGGCTCTCTCAGGGGTGTACACTTGTGAGGTGTGGGGGGGATGGTCCAGTTAGGCTACTCAAGGGTCATGGGACCACTTTGAGCAGGCAGTTCTGTCCCTTCTCAGGATCTCAACCTCCGTGTTGGGAGATCCCTGCTCTCTTCAAAGCTGTCAACAGATCGTTGCCCGTCTGCAGAGGATTCTGCTGCTTTTGATTTTACTGTGCCTGTCCCAGAGGTGGGTCTAGCAGGCAGGTTTTTGAGCTCTGTGACTCAGCAGTTCGAGCTTCCCAGCAGCTTTGTTTACCATACTAAGCCTCAGCAATGGCGGGCGCCCTCCCCCAGTCTCCGCTGCTGCCTTGCCGGTTAGATCATCAGACTGCTGTGCTAGCAAATGAGGGAGGCTCCGTGGGTGTGAGACTTCCGGCCAGGTGTGGGATATGATCTCCTGGTGTGACCTGTTCGCTTACAGCGCAGTATTGGGGTGGGAGTTACCCGATTTTCCAGGTGTTGTGTGTCTCAGTTCCCTCTGGCTAAGGAAAAGGGATTCCCTCCCCTTGCGGCTTCCCGGTGAGGCAATGCCTCGCCCTTGCTTCAGACTCTCGCTGGTCGGTCGCTGCAGCAGACTGACCAGCCACCGACGTCGGCACTCCCCAGTGAGATGAACCCAGTACCTCAGTTGAAAATGCAAGAAATCACCCGGTCTTTTGTGTCGCTTCGCGCTGGAAGTTGGAGACTGGAGCTGTTGCCATCGGCTCTGTGCTCCCGCCCTCTGACGAAAGTCGCCTGTCGCCTTGGGCTGGAGTGGAGTGC